AAGACTGTGAAGATTGAAAACCACCAGATTCTGACCCAGTCATCACGTCATTTTTAAGGGAAAGCAACAGGATTATGATCGCCAGCTAGTTTAATCCAGTGGTGTATGTAACCAATCTTGAATTTCTCTGAATATAACTAACAATCTTATATAGTCATTGGAGGAATGAAAAGGATCAAGGGAATACTCACATTTAGGCTACATAATGACTGGCTGCCCAACAACAAAATATATGAAAGGTACTGAGTAGGTACTAGAAGTCCAGATTCCCCTGGCGTCATATAACATCTACTAAACATTTTAATTAACTGTAGACTTCACAGTAAATCTGGTTAGTATTTACCCTCCTTTTAGACTTGGGAACAATCTAATCAATTTGATGTGCAGGCAGCAGAATGACAACGAGGCTTTGTCTTTCACAATGGTTACCTTTTTCATTGCCAGGGCCATACCTAGAATCTCACAGCAAGTCTGAGTTCATTTAGACAGTGCAGAGAAAAATACCTCGGAATTTGACACTACAGATTTAAGTCAGGAGATTGCAGGCTTTCATCTATGCATGAAAAAAAGCAAACTTTGAGTTGGCAATGCCAAAGACACACACACAGTGGAGCAAATTCTCAACATCCAACTGGCTCAGCCAAAGAGGTAAATCAGAATTATCTGTGGTATGAGGGAGTGACATTATGCAGAAGTGAAACAGTACAGACTGTAGAAGTCACTAGTCACCCAAATTTATGAGAGATGCTATTGAGAAAATTCTGAGTCAGACTTAGCTTCTGCTCAGAGCTTTCACCTTATCTTTGTGGCATAAGCCACGAATCAGAGAATGCTGGGGGGGAGGGTAGAGACAGGCAGGGCTTAGGATTTGGAAAATGAATTTTGAGCATTCTAAATTTATGACAAAGCAATGCTTGGGGCTCATTAAAGATGTTTAAAAAGGGGAAGTATTCTGAAAGGCAAGTAGAAGAAAAGCTTGCAAGAGGCTTTTCTCTATGAAATTAGGTTTTAAGAAGAGTTTTCACCAAAACTACATGTAAGAGGTAACAATGAAAATAAATTCAGCTTCATTTCCATTCATTTATTCATTAATTTATTCAACAAATATTTATTGAATGCTATGTGCAACAACTGGGAGAAATGGAATTCTAAAGACAGAGATAAGATACCCCCAGGACACTTCCTAATTAGCCATTTTCTGTTTTCCAAGGTGACGGTGGGGAGGTGTCATGAATAAGAATAACAGAATTCAGTAACACATCTAGTCAGGGATGGAGATCTTCAAGCCTCCTTCCTTTGCTGTCCTTTGGAGATAAGCCCTTGCTACAGAATAAAGGAACACAAAATACCCACAGACATATGTCCAAAGGACCCAAGACACTCTCAGTTTTCAATATCCTTCCCCATTTGCTCAAAGTGTGTGCTGTATTTGTTCAATTATGCAGCCAATTTGACTAGGGAAATACAGCCAGCTTGGTGGGCAACTAATGACCTCCTGGGTTCTCTCAGAGGAAGGACAGGAAATGGTGAATTACAGGCTCCTTAAGCAACACTGAAGTCAGATCATGAAGACAAAGCCATGGCTCTTTGAAGCTCTTTGAGAAGAAGTGCAAGAAGACAGGAGATGCTAGAGCAAAGAAAACCAGAGGCTACTTTCAGGAGGGGAGCTCAGCAGAGCAGCAGCTCCGGACTTTTTGGTACCAGGGACTGAGTTTGTGGACGATAGTTTTTGCACAGACCAGGGGTACATGGGGGTGGTTCCGGAATGATTCAAGCACTTTTGCTGCCACTGATCTGACAGGAGGTACTGGGCCACGGCCCAGAGGCTGGGGACCCTTGCTATAGACACATTTCTTTGGGATTGGTAAGAAGTAAAGACATGACAAAGCAGAGAAAGAAGGAAGCTCATCCTGACCTTTAGTTGAGGGTCAAGATAACTTACAGAAAGACCGGCACCAACACCAGATTCATTTTGGATTTCTGAGCAGCCCTGGAATATTTTCTTTTTTATTTCTTTTAGAGAACTAACCATTTCATTTTAAGGGAATGGCCTTGGATACCTTATGTGATGCTTTTGAATTGTGGGGCCGGAGAAGACTTTTGAGAATCCTTTGGACAGCAAGGAGATCAAACCAGTCAATCCTAAAGGAAATCAGTCCTGAATATTCATTGGAAGGACTGATGCTGAAGTTCCAATACTTTGGCCACCTGATGCAAAGAGCTGACTCTCTGGAAAAGACCCTGACGCTAGGAAAGACTGAGGGCAGGAGGAGAAGGGGGCGGCGGAGGATGAGATGCTTAGAAAGTATCACCAACTGAATGGACATGAATTTAAGCAAACTCCAGGAGAAAGCATCACCAACTCAATGGACATGAATTTAAGCAAATTCCGGGAGATAGTGACAGACAGGGAGCCCTGGCATGCTGCAGTCCATGGGGTTGCAAAGAGTCAGACATGACTTAGTGACTGAACAACAACAACAAATTAGATGTCTTTTGGGGTAAAGTGGTTATTTCTGTACCACAGGTAGATGGACAGGTTTATTCATGTGTAGTCCTAAAAATATTCCCTCCAGTATAGGTACCTTCCACGGAATGTGCTACAATTCTGCGTAAATGATACTTATATAAGATGACTCTTCTTTATGCTGGGGCACAAGGCAGAGTTGACTATTCTGAGTCAGAAAATCTGGATCTGGAGTTGGTTCTGCCACTGGCTGTCTGAAATTTAGGTCAAGCCATTTGAACCCCTCTGAACCTACATCTTCTTATTAATCTTCTACATAGCACTTTGAGGAAGATGAAATAACCCAAAATGCATTACAGTGCTCTGAAAAGGATGAAATGCTAATTCAAATGATAGTTTTAGTACTCTTCACCAACACTCTTTGGCCTGGTTGTAATGGTATGGAGGGAAGGTGCAGCAGTGATAAAACAGAACTTTTGACCAATGAAATCTGATAGAGCACAATGGACATTCACGTAGTAGAAAAATATTCTTAGCCCTGGGTAACACTGAATTCTATTTATAATACCGATACCAGCTTTTCTTCCTATTTGACTTTGATTTCCTAAAATAATTAAAGACTTAACATAAATGAATACTAATGATACTCAATACAGTAGAGGGAAAGGTTTTATCTACCATGATATTCACTGTCAGTCTTACATATAAAGCCCCAAATAATGTTGCCATTAAAATCAACAGAATGCTTAGTATTACCTCGTGAATGGTACCTGTGTGATCTCTTCTCTATATTCTTACCTCAGGCTTTTACCAAAAATTTCTGGAGAACCCACTAAATAGTCACACTGTGCTAAGCACGATAGGGGACATTAACATAGATTAAGACACAGTCCTTATTCCAAAGGCATTCACTGTCTCCATTAGAGAGAGGTGGGGTGGGGAGGGTGGTGGTGGGTAGCGGATAAAAAAGCTAACTGCAACAAAGTTCATGGAGAAAGATCCAAGGCATTATGAGGATCTAGACAAACGACAGATTACTTCCAAATGCAGGAACCGATTAGTACAGTGATAACCACTTTACCCCGAAAGACATCTAATTTGTTGTTGTTCAGTCGCTAAGTCATGTCTGACTTTTTGCGACCCCATGGCCTAGACAAACAACAGATTACTTCCAAATGCAGCCCCATCTGCTAGGGGCTCGGTGGGGAAAATCATTCAGAGTAACGGCGTGGAGGATGGCAGCTAGGCTGAGAAGCAAGTTTGAGCTGAATCCTGAAAGTGCATGAAAGCAGGACGCATTCAGAAACAGTAGTTACAATAGCACAGCCAGAATCTAGGTACACAAGATGACGATGGTGTAAAAAACCAGGTCAAGAGAAAATTGTGGAAGGCTGAAAATGTCCAGCTGAGAAGCTAGGTTTTTTAAAAAGATGCAGAAATCCAGTCAAGGAAGAATGCCGTGATGGCTCTTGGCACTGGGAAGATGCACAACTACCTTGAGTATGGAGGAGGTACTGGGGGGTGAGAGAGACCAGAGGCAAGCTGACCAGATAAGGAGCTCTGGCCCCAGGTCAGAGGTACTGAGAGCCACACAGAGGCCTGGGGCAGCAGCGAGCAATGGATGAATGGCAGTTCGCCTTTTCATCTTGAGGTGACACAGTCCCCAAGGGCACTTGGTTCTCAGACATACTGTGTTGCCAAGATGAAGAGGTCTTCACGCCTTGGGCTAAACCAAAGACATGAAAGTACTCAAGTCCCACAAATTTGAGCCACTGCTCCTTTAGAGACCTGCCTGGTGGCATCTGTCTAAAGAAGGCACGCTGAGTTAGAAGTGATCACGTGCAAAAGCCTTTCTTAAGCAAGGGCCCTGTGATGTCATACACATAACATAAAAGCAAAGTCCAGTGATTCGCATCATCCTGATGCCACACAACATGCCAAACCTTTACATCTTTGTCCTCTGTGGAGTCATGAAAAGAAAATTTTTTTTACTTTATAATTTCTTGTCTTTTCCCATGAACATCTTTTTCAAGTGATGACTGACAGCTAGAATTATCTCACTAATCTGCTAGGATGGTGAGCATAAATGATTTCTGTATTTGATGATGGAAAATAAGATGAACTAATTCATCCCCAAATATGACCAGTGAGCCTACTTTCTTAAATGCTTTAAGATACGTAATATGGCCAAACACATGTACAAATTGTATCATCAGAAAATTAAATGACCTACTTTGTTCTTAAACTCTATTCTCAAATATGAGATCAAAGCCTCTAAAATACATGCAGCAAATCAAATACCACCACGAGCATTCATTTATTTAATACCTAATGTATGAATTCTTACTTATGCTATTGCGTTCATTTTCTTCTTTCAGATGACAAAAAAGAGACTCTGTAAATGGAGCTAAACAGATTATTGGAGAAAACAGTTAGACATAGAATGACTCTAAGTGAAGATTCCTGGCACTTTTCTATGTGTGCAAGTGTATGCGCTCTGCATCCCAATGACAAAGCTAGAAAGAAAACTCACCTGTTTTCTTCCTCAAGATCTGCTAGGATTCTCTCTAGCTCCCCTCTTTCCTCACTCTCTAAGGAAATCAAGATCTGGGCAGGACTACGAGGCTGGCTCAGGGGGGAGTCCTGGTTCAAACTTTGGCAGTAATGCTGGATTAACAAATGTTCATCATCTCTGGAAAATAAAATCAAAGGTTTTGGTTTTTTCCCCCCTTATTTTGCTTTAGGGGGCAGGGACTCGGGCGTCTACTTTAAAATTGAAACAGTTATTTGCTCTTAACAATTAATTAGACCCTTTCTCCTGCTTTTAAAGGCATTTTGATACTCTTGAGGTTGTGGTTCTACCCTCCTACGGGTGACAGTTTCAAGCGTTTCTTGCTCAGATTTTCCATCGAATCTGGGTGGTCAATTTACATGAGTAAGTCAATGGCTTGAATTTCTTAACCCCACTGAAGCAGGATGGTAACAATAATGAAACTATACATTAAATGACTATTTCATTCGATTATTGTTTAGCTAGAAAAACAAAAATCAGCAGGAAAAAAAAAGAGCCATTAACACGACTAATTAAAAGAGGACTGAACAACTCATTACTTAGAGCAGCTTAGAACAAAGAGGCCAAAGGCTTGTATTTCGGGAGGCAGCTGCCATCTTTCTTTATATCCAGGGATTCTCTCATACACAGGAGAAATTATTTTCTAAATGCACTGCTTGTAACTCCTGAAAAGCCTGTGTACCTCTGAGTTACAAGAAATTCATCCTGTTCTTAATGAGAGGCTAAAACCCTTTGTTTCTGGCTAGACATTAGTAAGATGATACGTTAACATTTCCCTCTCCACACCTGTTTGATGTCCTTTTCTCATCTCTGACTCTGAGCTGAAAAAATTTCAGATACTTGGGGAAAAAATCCTCCTAATTGACATGATCTTGGTCCATCAAGTCAGATAACTGGTTAGCAAGTTAAAATTAAAATAATGACTGGGTGTTAAAAATAAACATGTAAGTTAAGTCAACCCATCTATCAAACCTCTTCCCCTGACCTGACCCTAAGATTTCATGTTATTCCCAAGCAACACTGAGTCAGAATGGATACTATGCCCTCAGAATGAGCTACAGCTAAATTTTGCTTAAAAATAAGCCAAACGCAGTATGACCAGCTAATCTGTTAGCCCTCATCCCAAATTCTGAAGGTGTATTGTGAGGACTTCCCATGTTTAATTACAACAGATAGTTATAATTCAACTTCTCTTACTGTTCCCTTGGGCAGTCAATGAATGGCAGCCATTCTTACATAGATACAACTGGAATCACTGTGAATGTACTATAGTTTCTAACATTCAAATCAGTGATCCAAAGAGCCAAATCATTCAGGTTGCTTACATTTAGTTGATTCTTTGTTTATGTATCTTTCTGTCAAAGTAGTTTATATATTAATACTATTAATACTTTCCCCCACAGCTCAGAAAGAGAATGTACCACAGTTATATTCACGGGCAAAGGCTTTTTTGTTTAGTATAACTATGAATGGCTGAGTGTTGACTCTATTATCACCTTGATCACCTTTATGTACCAGAGGAGATGACTTATTCTCATGTCTGCTATAACCAGTTATGTATAAATGCTACTTGGGTACTATTTCCTTCAGTCTCATCCTTATACAGGCTGTTTCTCATTTGACTGTGACTGTGGGTTGCCACACCATGTACATGTGATAAATTTACCATTTTCCCTTTGCCTAGATTCTCTGTGACAAAATGGTGAGACGTCCGTAACCTAGGAAACTAACACCATCATTGTACCTTGACTAGATTTCATCTCTGTAAGTTGTCTATTCCGTTATCAGTTTGTCCTCCATACAAGCTTCTCAATCTGCTCCCTCTACCTCAGGCTCTCGGTTCATGGCAGGATTCCTCAATGCTCCTTACGGCCAATACTACCCTTACTCTATAATGAAACCTCTGTTCCCCTGCCATCGCTGTGTTCTCTGCCACTCTGAGCATCACTCTCTCGCCTTCTTTAAATTGGACAGGCCTGGAGTATCATCCCACTACAAAACTGTGACCTCAACTTGTACTTCCTCTTCTTAAACCCTTCACAAGACTGCCTCAGTTTGTTTAGCTCATGAAGATGCTCAATCAAAAACAAAAAAAGAAAAAAGCTAGCTAGGTTCTCTACAGGAAAATGCCCATCTAGCTACCCCATGGGAATACCAGTGTAGCTATTCCAAGATGATAGTTCTACTGCCCATGGATGGGGCCATCACTTGAAAAATTAACATCCAGTCCCTTTAAAAGTCCCGCAGGTTTGGGCAAAGAGTAAACATTTCATACAGTTTTGGTGTTTGAAACCCTGCAATTTGTGGTAGTACAGCACTGAATGAGGGGAAGGCAAAATGTCTGGGAACATTTGTGCCATAGTTTTGAGGAGCTCATTCTGTGTTGGGTTGTCAAGAGTTAAAGAAAAAAAAGCCAATGAGCGTCTCCCAGAAAGATCCAATGAATATAAATGCTAATTCCTATCTTCTGTGCTTCCCTATGTCTAAATCCCTCTAAGCAATTTCATGGTCAGGAACATTTTGTAAAAAGAGACAGGATACTTACATGCTCTCATTAGGAGAGATGCTATCATTTAGATAAGATCCACTGCTGTTTTCCATTTCTGCTAGCCTGATAAAAAACGTAAAAGCTCATTAAAACTTCTGTGACTTCTTAGACTCTATTCAAGACCTAATCGAACATTCCTGAAAACTAAAGGATAAACCATGTCAAGAGGAGAAAGGAATCCTTCATATTTAAAGGATGTGTGTGTTGGCCTAGCTGTTTGAGGTGAGTGGTGGACTCCAGCTAGTTAAGCTGCTTTACATTTATGCTATAAATTACAAGAGAAGTTGCATTCTTTTTTTCTCCACAGGTTGATCTTCCTTTCGCTGAGAAGAGGCCCCTGTTTTCATGGGACAAGCTTCCTTAACAACAAACACACTCCATACCTTCCACTACCCCATGTGTTTTTTAAGACAATGAAAGCTTTCCACTAATGACAGAATGATAATAGCTAGTTAATACATCCCATGGTTGATAAACACGTTGAGCAGTTAAAATATTGCTAAAAGATAATTCACAGCTCTCTACACATTCTACCACCAATTTTTACCTTTAAAAACCTCCTTCACCTCAAACAATAATAATCTTTTTACAACTTGAAAGTTAACCAAACTCTTAGCAGATGTACTTAACAGGCATATTTTACAATTAGCAATTTAGTTCTTAGATATAAAAGTTACCTCGAACACAAAGAATGTGAGACAGAAAGGTCCAAGGATTAGGAAAAGTAATGATTCTCTTCTTTACACCACATTTTGTCAAATACACACAGAAATCTAAGCCAATGCTTTCTTTCATATTCTGCATATAACACAGTATCATTTCTTCATATACTTAATGTCTGGTCTAGCAGTTTTCTAAGAAGGGTAGATGATTTCTAAGTCAACGGATTAAACGTGCTCAGTATATAGAACATAACAAGGCTCTCAAAATGTTTAAAGGCCGAGGTTAGGGCAGATTGTTCTGGACTGAAGCTCTCATTGGTGTTCAAAAACAACATGCAGTTGGAATGGCATGCACGTTAGAGGGCAAGGTGATTAGTAGAAATCAGACAAGATTGGGGAAAAAAGAAAAGATTTGTTTAAAATCATTATAGGTTAGCTTTCCTTGGTTAGTTACTTCAATCAATATTTGCCTGGCATTCAACTAGTCTCATACCTGCTAGCATAATGTTCAATGCGTGAATGAGTATCATCGTGTGAAAGCTGAGGGGACGAGGCAGGCCTATAAGGCAGAAAATGTGATTAGTCACAGATACCACCCATTGATGGAGAAAAACCCACCCCACAGTTCTGTTACATACATGGCCTAGAATGCTTTCAGCCTAAAACTACGAATCAGATACACATCTGCTTGTCTCTATATCTTAGAGAGACCATCAAGTATTGACAATCTAGGTTTGAGAGATGATTGGTCATCCTTCTGCTTTTCTCAAAAGCCATAAGGAGGGATTGCAAACTTCTCTGGCAAGTTTTAATGACAGAAAAGGTCAAGGAGACAGTCTCTACATGACACTCAGTCTTCCTATCCTGTCATGTCTCATCGTTTACAGTTCTGAAATTGTGTTAGCAGTATACGGTTTAAAACTTCACACAGTTTACACCTGTGCCATTTTTAGCTGCCTTCTTATTGAAGGAAAACTGTACATTTGCCTAGTACATTTGCAGTCAATGATTTTAGCTCTGGAGAGGCCACTGCAGTCTGTGACCAAGATTCCACGTATCAAGAAGTCTTGGTCTGTACAATTTTGTAAAGAAGGAATATATCTACCACGTTAGCAGCAGGACTGTACTGCTACTTGGTACAGTAAAACTGAAGGGCCCCAAATTATAATGTGATGCTTTAAAAAAAGAACTACGAACTTCAATAGAATGTCACAGTACCTGGCATATTTCTTATTAGGGATACTGTGTGCTAATGTACAGAGCGAAAAATGAGAGGAGGATTAGCATTCATAGTCTATTTACTTTGTGGGTGTAAAAAAAAAAAAACCCTATGTTTTTGGCTTCATAGATGAACAGTTTGGTAGGGTTGACATGTTTTCACCTTTTCATACCTGATCTATTAATTGTCCTTGAAGTTTTTATAGTATCTTTTAGATTAACTGTAGGAAAAAAAAAATCCATCTGTTCTGAAAACCAGTTTGGGCTTGTGCTTTTTTTTGTTTTAACTGGAATCGGACAAAAAGGTCTCTTCCATTTCTCTCCTGACACAGAATGCCCTTAGGTAAAGGCATGAGTCCAAAAGTTGACAGTGATCTATTCAGTAAGGACTAGTTTAGTCCAGTGCCTAAGCAGAATTCAAGAACTTGTTCAGAACACTAAGAAGAATATGTTTTTTCTTACAGTTAAAAAAAAAAAGAAAAATGTGTAGTTACCTATGTTTACATAGGAAATATAGTAGAAATCTGTGTTTCTCAAAGAAGACACATAATTATAAAATAGTTATAACACACTACATAACCAGGGAACTGAAATCTTGCCTGAGAGATAAATGTCTTATTTATGAAACCAATGTTGTCAACGTCAATTGTCACCAGACTCAAACTTGGAATCAACTACAAAGATGCTAAAACTGTCATAAGGGAACAAAAGGATGGCAACCCAGTTTACCAGGCAGATCCAAAGATTTTCAGGTAAATCTTCACTCTAGTTTTGGAGATAATCTGCTAATTTGTTAGAACCCTGGAACAGTCCATTATTAGAAAAATGCCAAGGTTTGCTTGGAAATATTCACTGCAGGTCAAGATAACTGAGTACTTGGATTAATTGGTTTATAAGCCCTATCTTCTGGAACAGACCAGTCTTTCGATTATATACGTCTTAGAAGCTAAAAGCCCACCATCAAGGAAAACATATTAGTGTTTCTCCCTTGTAACAGTTGCTACATTGGTAGTGTAGAGAAGAAAAAAACATGAGATCTTGGAGCATAACTGCACTAAGAAAGCTCAGCATGTAAATGCAAAACACTTTAATAAAATCTTAAACAGGATATCTTATGCAAAGCTTTAATTCTTAGCCTTGAGGATATTTCCATGTTATTTTTCTTATTAAAGTATGTAGCATCTAACACAGCATGCTTAAGCACAAGAACTCATAAAAACCAAGAAATCTAAATATATATATATGTGTGTGTGTGTATGTGTATATATATGTGTGTGTGTATATATATATATACACACACACACACACTAAAGGAGGTACTTATGAAACCAGAAAATGAGCCAAAAGGGAATACTAGTCAGAGAAGAATCATCTAAAAACCAAGAATTAGTAAAAGTATAAAACCACTTAGTCCAGAAACAAAGCTAAATGCAAAGCCTTCTAAGCACTTTTCCAAGGGAAGGTAAGAATACTGTTATCCCTTCTCACTTCCTAAATATAAAGTGATAGATCCCCCAAAGGATTATTCCTGTTATTGTTGATGGCCAATTCCATCCCCTCCACCACCATTTTCTCATTATCTGTGACAACTCCACTAATAAATTTTCAAGGCAGAAGAGCTAAAAGAATATGGTTTGACCGTCTCACTTGTGGACAAACAATATAAAAGGTTTATGCCAGGTTTACTTTCAACTAAGGTGACAAATCCAGGTAAATAAGGGGTTTTTTTCCTAAGGAAAAAAAAGATTTGTATCTCAGTAAATTTTCAAATTCTATGATCCATCCTGAATGGACTAAATGCTGTCATTGTCACAGGATTTGTTAATATCGAATAGAATTCTTGCAAGACAAAGCACTCTAGGAGCTGACTCTTCCGCCTGAAGAAAATAGCTTTACAATTTATTTTCTAAATTATTTACCACCCCATGAATAAAGACTTTAATAAAATTACACATATTACAGGGACTTCAGTCTGCTGGGTTTGTTTTCTTCCTCAAAATTAGAATTTCCCACTATTTCTGAATAATCCAGCATACTTTTTATGGGAAGGCAAAGTGGGGGCAGGTTTCAGTTGCTAGAGAATATATTTTTTAAAAAGAATGTTTTCAGAAAGACAAACACCCTCTACTTAAAATAAGCTACATTAAACTGACTCCCTGAATGCTTCTCATTAGCTTATGGATAGAATAAGCTTCCTCTCTAGTTAGTTATTCTTTATTATGCTCTGCTGCTACCTCTGTCTATGTGTTTTAAAAAATTAACCTTTGGCATATTTGTCTTTTGGATTTTTAAGTTGGTTAGAACTTATTCCAACACAGAGAAAATCCATTTGCTTATCAGGATCCAATCCAGCTGAGAATTTCAGTATATTATTTTTTAAAAGTTCTTTATTTATGAAAGGTGTTACCTTCTGTAAACATATAGACTACCTGGGATAGGGAAAATAATTACCAATAGCAAGGAACATAGCTGAATCTAAATAACTCCCCAAGTTGTTTAAGCATAATTAGTAAAGAAATCAAGTATAGTAACCATATCTCAAAATTAAAGGGCACAATAATGTGGCTTTAAAGAAGAAAGGAAAGCCTCACACTTCCTTTAGGCCAATAAAGACTTCAAATAAACTTCAATTAATAGTTTGCACTTATCACGACAGGATTTTTTAAAAAGGACCTACTTTATTTTATTTTATTTTTTTTAAAAAGGATTTCAATGTATGACAAAAACCACTGCAATGATGTAAAGTAATTAGCCTCCAACTAATAAAAATAAATGGAAAAAAATTAAAATAAAAAATAAAATAAAAAGGACCTACTTAAAATTTAACTACATGGTGGAATAAAAAAGACCCAATAAAGATAAACTGAATTCTTATATAAGTCCACTCTCCAAATTAGTCATTTCCCTCTTATATATAATAGAACTGTCTGACTTTAAATAAACATTTTAATAGCATACATTGTGAAATACCAAAATTTTGTTATAAACCCCCCCACACACTGTAACTTTAAAAGAATGCACTTTGCTGATATATAAATCACAGACTCTATAGAGTTTTCTAATGACATTCTAAATTCTGAGATAAGTCAATCAATTATTTATTAATATCAAGTATTAGTATTATTAATAAGACACACCAATAGTAATAACAAAGACTACAGTACACTTTCCTTCCAGTGTAAATGTATGTTTATGAGCTGGGTATTTAGCTTGGAGAAGAGAGCAAAGTGAGTGTAGGTCAAAACTGAGAAATTCATATATATATATATACATATACACATGCATACACACACACACACACACACACACACACACACACACACACACATATATATATATAAAGATTAGTCAAATAGCATGGCATTACCTGGTAAAAAGGCCACATGCCTCACTGAAATTATTCAACCATACTCAACATTATACCATGAAACAAACTTTGCTGGCTTTTAATGGTCCACTTATAACAGGCCCTAAAGAATAAAGCATCATCCTTTTGAAGGTCCTAAAGCACTCAATCTCTAGAAATATGACTAAAGAATGTTATTATGTAATCAGAAGGCTCTTCTCTGCTTACAAGGAAAGAGCATATAAACATGTCTGCCAGGAACAGAACTAACAACCCAGCAATTTCTGTGATGTTACTTTAACCTCCAGGCCAGGATTTCTGCTGGTTTTCATTTGACCAGGTGGGGACCCTAAAACTTCACTGACTCTCCTAATCTGTGGCAGAGGGCACCCTCAAAGTCTCAGCAAGGGAAAAATTTTGAAAGGAAGGAAGGGAAATTAAAATGTCCTTAAAACAAACAGAACAAAATTTTTTTAAAAATCAAGCAAGCGAATGTGTTCGTGATAGCAGCACCCTTCAGCGCAAGTACTCACGCAGAGTCTACCGGCCAGAAGTTGATCAGAGTAACAGGACTGCAAAACAAAAAATGAGGTGGTGAAGAGAGACACAGGCAAACTCAGCCACACACACACACAAAAAAAAATTACTGAAAGGTCAAAATAAATGAAACCCAATTAAGTATGAACCATGAAAAGCAACGGCCAGACAAAGGTGAAAGGTGAATTAAAAGAAAACCAGTGGTGCGACTGCCATCAGATTCATGGAAAACAGAAGAGAAGGTTCAAAAGAGGTGAAGACAAGATCATCATTTGGATCTAGAGAATCATAACTACTTACTGTGAAGACATTTCCTGTGGCCATTATTTTCTTTCAAGTAGGAAAAAGTGACTAGCTACGACCACACAATCAGATACAAAAAGACACACGCCTACTGATTTGTGAGGGGGTGGAATCAAAATGAAATCTTGGAGTCACTCATTTGTAAACAGTCCCGTATTTCTTACAAGCCTTTGTAAGGGAATTAGGAGCCAGAATATGGTGGTTTTTTTTCTCCTGTGAGATACAGTTTAACTTTCCGAAAGGGTCACTGTTCACGGGACAATTGACACGGAAACTGGTGACTGAATGTCAGCTCACTTTTCTCTTTACAGCTACAGTAAATCTAAAGAAAGAAATAGGAGAGACTGTTTGCATTTGGAAGTGAAGGAAGGTATTCAGGTGAGAGGAGCTCAAATATACGTCAACTAAGAGGCTGCTGTGCTCTGGCCACTACTCACGTTTCCATGTTGTCCCCCTCTAAGACCGTCTGCACTGGCAGGTAGCCCATTCGGGGATGCTTCGCAAAATACCTTTTGGTGCGAAATTTGTTTTTTAGTACCTTGGCAAAGTCTCGAACATCTTCTCCCGATGTAGTCTGAAACGGAAATCATGAGGAGATCAGCCTTAAGGCAAGGTTTCGAACGGAAAGCACCACTTCAGTGCTCTGCCTTGAGGTATTTGTCTTACAATTAAGAACAGGAGGTGAGAGCAAAAGCTGAAATCACACAAAACGGGCTTTGACACCAGACCTGCCCTTTACTAATGAGGTTAACGGGGGTGAGTTATTTACCTACCCAAGGCTCCAATCATCTACAAAACTGAAGCAAGAATGCCTCAATAAGTTGTGATGATGAATCAATGAAGTGTCAACTACTAGGCTGCTCGATAAATGGTAATTAACAGACGTCTGCAGGTCAGAGTGTTGACCTTCAGTTTTGCCACACCTTACGGTATTTGTAAAACGGTATCTGTCCATATTGCTGTCAGATTTTACCTACTAAGTACCATTCGTTTCACAGCATGGTACATTCTCCATCACTGAATACCTTTGCAAAAGGAATCAAAGTGAGGAAGACAATGAAATAACTGGGAGGATAGCTCTGAAGATGCAAGAGAGAAAAGCTCTAAAGCAGAAATTCTCAAACTCTGATGTGTTGGAAACCACCTGCAGACCTTGCTAAAATGCCGCTTTTGATTTAGAAAGTCCAGGGTGAGGTTTGAGGTTCTGCATTGCTAATAAGCTCCCAGGTGATGCCAAAGCTGCCGGCCCACAGATGGCACTTTGAATAGCTAGCAGCCAGTGTTGAAAGAATACGAGATATACACCCAGGTCTGTGTCCATCAAGTCCATGCCCTTTCCATTTCACTAGTGATTTTTCTTTTCTTTCTTTATTAAGTTAATATTTATTGGACTATAGTTGCTTTACAATGCTGTGTTAGCTTCTGTTGTACACCAATGTGAATCAGCTGTACGTACACATGCATCACCCCTTTGAGGGATTTTCTTCCCATTTAGCTCACCAGAGCATTGAGTAGAGTTCCCTGCACTATACAGTAGGTTTTCATTAGTTATCTATTTTATATACTGTGTCAATAGTGTATATATGTCAATCCCAATCTCCTAATTCAGACCACCACCACCTTCCCCCTTGGTGTCCATATATGTGTCACCAGCAATTTTTCAAAGTTCTCTTGGCCACTTAACGTTTCCCCAAGACAATAACTTAATTATAGAAATATTATTATATAGAAATATAAGAAATAATTATAGAAACTTGGGCAAACTTTTTAACCTCAGAATGTCATGAGTTCTCAACTGTAAAAAGGGGATAAAAATAATACCTCTCTCATACAGAGTAGTTTCAAAGGTAAATGCCTAGCATTTAATGGTGTTAGTATATTGAACAGACAAAAGATGAGCAAGAGTCATTTAAATGGTGGATTACAAATTTCAGGGAACCTACATTACTCCTCCTCCATACTCAATGTGCCCCATAGGCCTAACACCTCTACACACAACAGCTAGGGATGCAGAAACTAAACGTGAAAATGTCTTCTCTACAACCCACGGAAACAAAAAAGAAAAGTATTGCTTCACCCAACAGTGTGTGTGGAGTGTCTATGACATTCTGTGTGTGCCAGGCATTGCACCAGGGATAAAGTCAATCCCAGAGTCTGCAATTTGGAGCTACTTGAGTTGGGCAACATCTGGGGAACTGAGCAATCATAGCATCACAGATCATCTGCAACACTAGAAAACTGAAACTTCTCCCAGGTGAGCTGACTCAAGCTCAGGGACACATTTACTTACCGGAGTGCAATATTCCACCATGGGATAGTGCATTTTATGGCCTTTTGCAACACGGCCAGAGAAAAAGCAGCTTTGGCAGATGTCATAATTAAAGTGCTTTAGACTCCTGTACCTGGTAAATCACAAAAACAAACATGTATGTATCTCTTCAGATCAAATTCCCAAAGAATACCCTTTAAGAAACCTCCTTCCATACTGTTTTAATTCTAGAAACAGAATGCCATGTTTATTAATCCCTCAAGGTAAGTGATTAAATTCCTACCTCCAGATTTTTCTGGTGCTTTACCTGCAGTATCAAAACATTTTGGCAGAAACATCCTGTAAACATTTGGAGGGAGGGGAGAAAACTCAGCTCTTGCTTAAACTCCACTGGGAACTCTTTCAGATTAAGTAGGAAGACACTGGCAAACTTCTAGGTTTTTGAAGACCAAATACTGGAATTGAAAACAACACTCAGAAAGGACAGATGCTGGGCATACACACTGAGGAACCAGATCTGAAAGAGACACATGCACCCCAATGTTCATCACAGCACTGTTCATAATAGCCAGGACATGGAAGCAACCTAGATGCCCATCAGCAGACGAATGGATAAAGAAGCCATGGTACATATACACCATGGAATATTACTCAGCCATTAAAAAGAATTCATTTGAATCAGTTCTAATGAGATGGATGAAACTGATTCATGTCAATGTATGGCAAAAACCACCACAATATTGTAAAGTAATTAGCCTCCAACTAATAAAAATAAATGGAAAAAAAAAGAAAAAAAATTATCCTTAGGTATCTGACATACTCTAGGTAATGTATATGAATATGTTGAGAAAGGAATGTTTCCGGCCATATCAATAAACCAGATATTTTTTATATCATTAAAAATAAAGAAAAGGACAGATTGATGCATCTCAGACCCATCCCCCACCCATCAAAAGGGCACCAACACTTCCTGAGGGACTTATTTTTAAAAAAATTATATAGATAAAGCAACTTCATAAGACAAAAGAAAATTCAGCAAGAAGTCTCAATTAAAACAAATTTACATTAATTACATTTTCTGATTGACAGACATGATTCATTTTCAGAGTTACTTGGAGAACCTCTTTTATCTGTCTGTCTTCAGAAATCCCTCACCACCATACCCTCACATAAAAATGGAAACCCCAAGGAAAGACACAATTTGGGTGAGATGAAAGGATTCATAATCTGGAAGTACTACATGCTACACTTCCCCCCATTCTCAGAATACTGTATTCTTGGTTTCATACTCTCCCTGCCTTATGCTTTTTCAGATAAGACTCTGAGCCAATTCAAATAAACATATTCCTCATGTCACACATGGGAATGTGGGGAAAAAGCTACTGTTTTTAGATCCTAGTCATCTTCTGAGAATGGGGAAAAGGAGGAAAGAGAAGTGCTGATTCCTAAAATAATTTACTTTTGTAAGGGCAAAAGAACTGAATGTCAAAATGCTGTCTTAGACCCTCCAAAGCATTCTCCTTTTACATTTTATAAAATCCACCCTCTGCTTTGTCTACAGATCTTACCAGTGAAGGAAGCTAAGAAAATAAAGGTAAGAAATGCAATGCAGTCCCCTGGAGCTCCCCCTCCCCGCTGCCCCAAGGCATCACTCTTACCCGCAGAAACCAGGAAGGAAAGGTGTCCTTTGCTAGCACTGCCTACTCAATGATATCTATCTAGGCTTTAGAAACCTCTGAAGGTCTCTGTAAAACCTCTTTGTACACAGCATGAAGTATGGAAGGAGCACAGTGAATAAAAGGCACACAAATGGTACAATGTAATTATTAGAAATGAAGTAATGAGACAAGTCTCAGCATAACCAGCGATGAGTATTTACTTAGGTGGTAAGTGGATCCTGAACAGGCAGAGGATGCTACAGCTAGTTTACAACTTGACAGCTTATTCATCACTATGGCAACCTCGATGTTGATCCAGATGTTTAAATATACCACCATTTCAGAATTTGGGTTTGGGATTACTGTTCATGAAGATTAATTCATTTAAAAATACCCTGTCTCCCCAGACAGGTCAACAAGACTGAAGATTTATTTATTTATTTAGTTTAAGACTGAAGATTTAAAAGCCAAGTGTTTTCTGGGACATTTTAAGAAAGTCAGAATAATAATAACCTACAATGTTTCCTACTTCTTGCACTTTTAAATTTATAAGGAACATTTTCTTGTTTTAGTGGCTTTGTGAATCTTTCATTTACTTGCACACTTTATATTCCCTCAGAAGTTCATTAGGAGACTATGAAAAGAGCATAATTGGATTCACAGATCAAGAAGTATGTTCTAGGCTGCTCTAAACAATTCTGGTTACTTTAGGGCAAGAAAAGTGGTGTAGAGTGATTAAGAGACTGAGCTACTATGACGAGTCTCCCAAAATAGAATCATTCCTTAGTTTTATAACTGATTCTGGGAGAGTTTCTATAAACAGAAGAGAGCATGGGGGGAAAAAAGAGATGATCAAAAAGTCTTGGTTCCAGGAAAGAAGAGGTACAGTTAATCTGTGTATACTTGACGGACGAAAATCTTGGTGGAGACAAGGAGTCCATCCTGATCGATGAAGAACATGGCTCCGCAGAGCTAAAGAGGGAAAGCGGAGAGGGCCACCTGTCTCATGAAGCAGGTTCAACAATATAACCCAGTGCTCAGGGGGGTGACAGGAGGAATCCAGGCTCTAGCCTGGTCACCTCCTCTCCCACCATGGAGAGGAACAGACTAACAGCAACTGGCACGGTGGGTAACAATGCACTAATAGCAACTGGTACGGGGGCGGGGTAACAGATCAAGTCATACAAGGGTGAGAAATGATACGACAAAAATGACACTGGGGCGCTTCGGCCTACCTGAAGCCGATGATCGGACACTCCTTGCAGATGTTACACTTGGCCTGATGCTTGGCAGTCTCTGCGGCAGCCACTCTGTGCAGGACGGGCAGCCACACCATGGACTGGGGTTCTAGTCTCATCCAATCGAGGAAGAGTGCCGCTTCGATCTCAGGCTTATTATTAGCCTGCAGAGACAGGAGGCCGGAGAGTGCAAGGAGAGAAGATATAAGAAAGTAAAGGAGGCGTACGTCATTTCCGGTGATGCATCAAATAAAGAGCCAAAGTGGTGCAAGGAGGCCCACTTTTCACAGCCTGATTCTGCAAATGTCCCCCAACATCCACACGAGCCCTCTGCCACATGGCAGTCTGGGAAGCTGCCATGACTCTGTTCGGCTACTAGATGACAAGAAAGCAAAGAAAACAAATGCAAAAGGTAGAGTACAATACACACCTGGGAGAGACTATATCTCACTCAATTTGGGAAGAGATATATAAAACTTATCCATAAGTAAAAAGGAAGTGCTTACTGACAAAATTTCAAAAGAGAGAGAGAGAGAAAAGAAACCTCAAGGAATGATTGATCCTTTTTTTTTTATTTCCCCTCCAGTGAATCTGTTTCTCAGTGTTTCTTATAATCGTAATGAAGAGGCTTTACAATTCATCTGGTCCTGAGGCTTCATTTTACAGAAAAGAAAACTGAGATGTAGATGAGAGAAATGGCTTTTCAAAGGCCAGACAGCTCCCTGGCAGCAGGAATGAGTCTGGGGAATATATGTAAATCCATGGCTAATTCATTTCAATGTATGACAAAAACCACTGCAATGTTGTAAAGTAATTAGCCTCCAACTAATAAAAATAAATGGAAAAAAAAAAAAGAAACCTCCTGCTCTAGTGCTCTCTTCATGGCGACCTGTTGTTTCTCTGTCTGACTCTAGTTTTCTGTTTTTCAGAGTCTAATAAATACTGTGCCTCCCAGTGAGTCCAATGATTTTAGAAAATTCAAATTATATTTACCCATCATTTGATTGGTATGTTACTATAGTCATGCATTTAATTACATTTTTTAAGCCTACAAGACCATGTTTTACGTGTTTGCATTGTTAGATCAATCCATATATTAACCACTTTTGGGGGGTTTGTTTTCCATTGCTTCCTTCATCTCAGATCTCCCATCTGGGATCAGTTCTATTGGCAGTATATCTTTTAGTATTTCCTTTAGTAAGTGTCTGTTGATGGTGAATTTCTCAGTTTTTCTTTGCCTGAAAGTCTCTTTTACCCATATTCTTGATAGTTATCCTCATTGGGTCATGATTTTTAGACTGAAAGGGGTGTTTTGTTTGTTTTGATTTTGTTTTAACACACTGAAATATTATTTCACTTTTATTTCACTTTCTCTGCTGCTAACCATTGACAAGTCAGCCGTGACGCTATTGGTTCCTTGAAGGTCATCTATCCTTTCCCTGTCTCATCTTGTACTTCTAGGATTTTATCGATACTTTTTAGGATTTACTAGGCTTCAGGAATCTGTGGGTTAGAGTCTTTAGTCAGCTCTGGAAGCTTCTCAGTCATGATCTAAACAAATACTGCCTCTTCTCCAACCCTTCTCTCTGCTTACGGGAGTCCATTAGATCAGTGTTAGACTTTCTCAATCTAACTGCCATTTCTCTGAGCAGGCGTTCCCTAAGAAAGTGCCTTCTCTAGAGATGGTCTTCATTTGCTTTTTCCCAGAATCAAAGGGTGCTACCTATTTTGAGATCAAATTACACTGAATATATGATGGGATATTTAGCATCATACACACAATGAGTATATGAACTGCAAACTCATGGTGCTTCTCTTGGAAAGTGGTGTGCTAATAAAGAATGTATTCACACTTTAGGCAGACAAGAGTAGGGTCAGTGGGCTTGTAACACTCACCACTTCGGCAGTACTCCAGGAATAACCCCCAATTATCAACTCAGCAACATTATAATGAGCTGCTTAACCTTGAATTCCCAGCCGCAAAGTGGCATATAAATTCAAGCTACTGATCAAAAGCTTCTGTTGAGTACGTCGTTCTAGAGTGCTATCACAGAGGTAATGTACTTTGTGAACATTTTCTTAAAAGCTAAAAAAGAATTACAGAACCTGACGATGAAAGGGACCATGGACATGAATTCCTCCTTTTGGAATGACACTACAGAGCTGTAAGACTTTTGACAGTCACCATGTCCAAACTTATCCAATGCCAGTGTGTTCCCATAGCCGCCATATAATAACCATCCATGTGAGGAAGCAAACATCCTCCATGGACGATCTTGAACATTTGTGTACAGGTACCCTTGTCACAAGTGCTTCATAAAACTGAGCTGAAATCCATCAGCACAGCCAATAGGAGGAGAGGCTCCAAAGTCCAACCACAAGAGTTCAAATCCCAGTTTTGCCACTGATTGTGTTACTCTGGGAGAGTAACTTTATCTTTCTGTGTCTCAATTTTCCTCTGCCATGAAGTGGAACTATTTATAGGACTTACCTTGTAGGGCTGATTTAATATTTCAGTGAAAGACACTTGAACACTGGCACATAGCTAGAGCCATGTCAGTGTTTGCTATCATTATGTCATTATTACTATACATCTGACCAGAAACATCGAAGTTCTCAAGCCTTCACAAATCTCTTTCAAAATTTTACCAGAGCTGTCATGTCTGTCCATGGCCCTTCATCCCTATTTCTCTTATTTCTTCCTCATATGACACATGGTTTGCCATTGTCCTTTAGAACTCTGTTCTCCAAAAAATGATGTGCTGTGAATGGTACGGCCATCTCTCTGGATAGTATAATTGGATGACTTTCTTTTGTTCTGTACTATAGGCTCCCACAGTGCTTCCACGCCACTAAAATCTCTGGGTCAGTGTTTCCCAGTGTGTCCAGAAGATCAATGACCCAGCAAGATGTTTCATGAAGAGAAGGTCAAATTAATTAAGGAAACATTGCACATTCTATCTGTCGCTTAATGCACGCTAACATACTAAAAGCTGGGTTGGTTGTCAGTAAGGAAACATTAAACCTTGTTTGACCTCAGAATTTCTCACACTAATTATTCAGTGATCCTGGGACATTTATCACTGTTCTTATGTTATAAGACTGGTGAGCACCCCCAAGGTACTAATGCATTGTTGGGTATGATAAAAAATACTGTTTGGCTGTTTCCAGTGATTCCGCTGTTTTGTATATATTCATTTGGGATGTATTTCCTTCCACTTCCATCAAGGACTTTCCTGTTAGTTTGAGCCCATTGCATCAGCTCATCTGTATCTTTAAGGATCCTGACTCTTACAGCTCATGGGTTAATCATTCTCCCCAACTCTGTAATTTTTACATTTAAATATACATTTTCTGGGGACTCCCTGCTCGTCCAGTGACTAAGACTCCACATTCCCAATGCAGGGAGCCCAGGTTCGGTCCCTGGTCAGGGAACTAGATCCCACATGCCACAACTGAGAGTTCCCATGCCACAACTTTACAGATCCCACACACCGTAACTAAGACCCAGCACAGCCAAATAAAGAAATAATTAACAGATATTTTAAAATAAATAAATAAAATATGTGTTCTGCCTTCACCCAAAGGTCACTAGTGAAAAAGTTTAACAGGCCAAGGTCAAAGGTGGGCCACACAACTACAGAATGCACCTCTGGTCAGCACAAAGCCAGAAGCCAGCCCTCTCTGGTTGGTGGACTGTGACTGCCTCTAGTTATATTATTATTTAGTCTCTAAGTGTTTCTTCATCTGGTAAGCAAAGATACAATGAGAGATTGTGTCAAAAGAACTGCAAGTTCCGGTTACAATAAGTCCTATAACAATCTCTTGCTCCACTGGTCCAGAAACTAAATTTATCAAAATAACCATCTGGAGCTAGGACAAAAACTATCACAGAAAGACAGCAAATTGAAAAAAGCATTACTAATTCATTCTGATGTAAAACATGGGGTTTATTGTTGCCTAATCTGAACCTATATATGTTTCCCTGACTTAAGTTTAAAGGATAGTTTCTTTAATGATAGATTCAATGACATGATACAAAGAAAGAATTCAGGCTTATTACAGAGAGCATAATAACAGAAAGCTTCTGTTCACTGTGGAAGACAGAAAAAAAAAAATCTGACCATGAGTCAGCAACAAATGTAGGTGCCCAAAATAAAGAGAAAAAAAAATTGACCATGTCTGTGATGTATAATGAAAGGCCTAACAAATATAGTGTGAAACAATCATTGCGTTATCCTCGGGACTAGAGAACGGTGTCTAGTTCTAGTGGCTAAAGCTAAGTCCTGACCCGGAACTTAGAGAAGGCTTGGCAGAAAGGCACAGCGATAATTAAAGAGCTTGAAAGATCTATGAGAACAGCTTAAGGGAACAGGGATTATTTAGCCATGAAACACACACACACATGAGAATATGCAAGAAATAGTGGCTGAAGGGGCGATTCAATAACAGTTTTCAATTATGTGAATGGCTCTTGCATAGGGGCCTATGACCAGCTGTTCGCTTTCTCCACCGAGGACAGAACAAGAAGAAACAGGCTTAAGCAGCATGAAGAATTTAGGCTGTAACTCATACGGAAGCATTTTCTGATGCTGAAAGTTGTTAAAGCATTAGTGGAAATTAACAAGGGAAGCTAGAGAATGTTCTCCTCTTTCAAAAGACCACAGATTCTCCTGTGCTTAAAGGCGGGAAATTCTCAAGGTTCTTTCTTCCTCCTAAGATGCAAGATCCATCATTTTGGCTCTTTCAAAACTGCTCGCCTGTGCCAACAGCACTGAAGACAAGGTACAGGGATTCACATTCTCATTCTGTTTCATTTTTTTTATTTTTATTACCAACAATGCTGTATCCTAGTGGCATATTCCCTTTCCTTTTGTCTGGCGATAAAGAAAGGAAGAATTCAAAACCAGGCCAAGTGTCTATAGGAGAACTAAAAGCACTAGAAGTAAAACCCAGCTAAAATTACATTGTGATCACTCTAGAAAACAAGAGGTTAGCCTGAAATGTCAGGAAGTTGTTGAGGTCAAAAGACAGGTATGATGACAATGGATTGAGGTCATCCTTGCAGGTGCCATTATCTGCTGACCCACATCCAGGCCTCATAGCTTCTCTCGCTATTGAGGATGACCTTGACCTTGCCCCTAAACACCAGTGTCAAACCATC